TCTAATTGAGAGCTAACACGAGTATATGTGTTTATTATTAAGCTCTTGCAAAGCCTAAGTCAGTGTGGAAGTAGCACGCGCGAAGTTCAAAATTGATTAGTAAAATCTGGAATAAACTGATAACCTCGGTGTCAACAACAAATCTCAAACTGGCGTAGATATGCCTATAAACACATATAAATGTTTCATACTTATGTACAATAAATAGCATTAAATTGATATTCTCATGAATAAGATCATACCCTAAAGGAAATGTCTGGCACTTTTTCGGCTAAACTTAAGAAATGTTTAATTGAGTCAATTTTGCAATATTTGAAAACCAAAACAAAGAAAATTCAAATATGGAATTTCAGAATTAAAAATAAAGAGCAAAATTCCACCAAAATATTTTCAAGTGTGTTTACTTTCGGCGCTTATTCAGCTTAAGAAATGATAGCTGAATAACTCAGTATCTAGAGCTATTTGCTATTCAGCTTAAAAATAAAGCGCTGAATTGCAAAAGCAGTACTGCTGACCAAATACATATGTTATAGTATACAATGTTCTCCATTATAAACATTTCATATATGCTTTTTATTCACTTACACGAAAATATTGGAAAGAGGTAATTGAAAGTTTTTGCTGAATCCAAACTATCAATAATTGAATTGGCATATTAAATATTTCTTTCGAGAAAATAGCAGTGTATTTGTTATTTTAATACTTCAATAGTATTTTATATTAAGCATTAAATATTTGTTGTTCTACTTAACAATGAAACTCCTTCATTAATTAGCTCACAATATAGATATCTTGAATACCAATTTTCCTTTAGGGTAGAGTTCCGTACGCAAAGGAATATGCGATTGTTATAGTCTTAATTAATAAGTTAATATTTATTAACTTAAAGCTCTCGTGGCTCTTCATTTAATCGGTTTTATACTTAACCTAAGTTGTCGTAGGTCTAAAATTGTTTTCTTAAAAAGTTACTGGAATATTAATTGAGTTGAGAATTTATCAATGAAACAAATCGCCTCTACTAGTATGCGTTTCTGAAACAGCATACAATATACATGGTAATACATTGTGACCAAAAAAGTGCCCGATATTCATTGTAAATAAAACGCAAAATATTTTATTATTCATCAATATTGATATTGTCGCCTTCAAAGTAAGTAAAAGACAGTAAAAGATGTTATACACTTATGCTAACACCCTTTACAGTCGTCGACACACTTTTCATAAGTACTTTTTGGAATGGTCTTCAGCAATTTTTATGCCAAATCTCGGAGCCAAATCTCGTGAATACTGTAGTTGATCGACGGTATTCATTGCGTTTCTGGCTTTAAATTCGGTCACATATTTCCTATGGAACCAAATTGAACCATGCTTTTGAAATATGAAAAACGCGACAATTTTTTTTAAATCCTAATTTTATATCCTTAATAGCAGAAATCCAATCACATTCCTCAGAGCCATACCGAGGACCATCATATTATAATAGCTGAACTTTTTAAGTTTAACTAATACTTATTCCTACATAAATGATAATGGGACATGTTAAAGTTCCGAATTCTCATTCGTTCACATTAGCAGCCGTTGCGTTAAACGGTAAAATAAAGAAAACCCGTTAACTTCGGCTATACCGAAGCTATAGACCCTATAGAGTTTTATTTTTGAATAATATAAGGAAATAAACAGACGGTCGGTTTCAATTGTAGCTTATGCTATATTGTTTGGAGATTGTACCAATACTTTAAGTGTTATTATATTCCAAATTTTTCTTAAGATTCCTCATTAAACTAAAAATCTTTTATACAAGAACTTGACTTTAATCGGTCAATCTAATATAAATATGTCGAATATTGCTCTTAGCGGCATCACTTTTCTGGTAGCAAGCATGGCTTTCGAGAGCTATAGTTTCAAAATAATGTATTTCTACCGAGATCAGTTTTCGTTAGGTTCTTCTGCTTTTGTTAACTCACTACTTCCATTGTCAATACATAATAAAATTGCTATCAATGAATCAGGCCATGATTTAGTAACTAATATCATTGTAAATCTCATTTGCAATACACCAAATTGGATGCTAATAAACTTTCGCACCAAAACAAAGGAGGACCGATTAATGTTTCACAAACTCAGTTGTCCCTCCCTGCGTAAGTGCGCCATAATTACAAACCTTCACAGACATAACCGCTACTTATTTCGGGACATTAAAACTAAACCCATAAAATCGTTTACAGTCGACGCTAAAAATATTAAACCGCACGTCATTTCTTACTTTTGTCGGCAAAAAAGAGGCGACTCTATTAGCGGCTGTGAAACATGCTTAAATCCATAAGTAGATACTTAGGTACTTAGAGGTTGTGCCGAAATGATGAATGAAATGCGAAGCCGCACTTGAAACGTCTGAAAAGTAAAAAATTAAAAAAAAAACCGGTAAAACCGCAAAAAAATGACAGCGCCACAATGTCAAAAAAAGCAAAATGATAAATAAATGACTGTTAGGTAAATAGCGAGACAGTTCCTCAGACAAATGCACAAAAACATTGACGGCGCTGACAATAGGCGATTGTAAACAATAATAAATATTTAAATGTAGAAATGCGTGATTAGATTTAATTTACACCAGCACGGAGTGTGCGCGTCTGTGAAGTAGTATGTCACACAGGCAACAACAGAAATAAAAACAATGACAAAAATCGAAATGACAATAGACATAAATTCGAAAGACCTACAACCACAACGGAACTCAGCCGATCTTTGAAGAGCACAACTATTGTAAATAATAATGGGCATTTCCGCACCGAACCGCACCTTTAGGATGGAGGTTTACTGACAGCACCGCGTAGGGTGCGCTCTTCATTGCTGTGACTTTTGTTTGGCGTTGAACTTGACATTCAACTCAATGTTTGTGAGCGATGAGCGCCTCCTAATAGCTGGGTTAGTGGTGTTGAGGAATCGCATTAGGAAAGCTTTGAGGCTGCATGTGCACGTGTTGAGACCTGTGATTAGCTAGCTGCGAATTACCTTGACTTTGGTGCTATGCGAAAGTTCAGCACACATAATGCTTATAGGACGTGTAGTGGAATATTTCGATAATTTGAGTTCGGCAGGTGTAGGGATAGTGGGTCGTGTGGTGATATTAACCAAACGAAGTGTGCCTAAATCTTCTATGTGCTACGAAATGCCGGAAAATAGGGAAACTAAGTCTATACATCGAAGAAGCCAGTCGACTAAACATATACAAGATGTGCAGTCGGCTTTGTATATCATCTGATCTGGTATGCCACTTTGACTAGTTTAAGAAAGTAAAAAAAAGATAAGAATGGGTAAAGTAAAAATAGAGATAGATACTACTGAGAATTGTAGTTTTTTCAGCTCTTCCATTTCGAAATTTATTTTAAGGAGAGAAATCTCCCTTTATTTTCTTCACAATGTAGAGTCTTACGATAGCTCTTTTGTAATATGTAATGATGTTTGTAAAATATATCTCAAGATATACATACTATGGACAGTTAATCAATCTGTCAACAATATTTTCTCAACATACAGTATACATCATGTTTCAATATCCTCTTTTTCTCTCTTCGTGCTATTGAAGGGGTATAAATAATCCCTGAATACTCCCAATAAAAGTGATATGATTTCAAAAAAAACAAAAAAAAAAAAACAGGACAATACAATTTTCTGAACAGAACATCGTTCAAATGGCCTCAACGACTTCTTTAGCAGGAACAAATTCGATGAACTCAATTTTCGAGTACTTTTTCTAATAAATTAAGTCGTATGTCATTAATAATACGTTCAATATTGACTTTGAAAGCTTGAAGAGACTCTAGTTTATTTTTAAAAAGCAATGACTTCAAATAACCGCACAAGAAGTAGTCTAATGGTGTTAAATAAACACTTCTTAGAGGTCATTCAATATCACAATTTCTTGAAATAATCCTGCGGTGTGGCACGTAGCCCCGTCTTTTTGGAACCATATGTTATCAAGTTTAATTGCTTTTAATTGTGGCCATATAAAGTTGGTTATTATCATTCTTCATTCCTCCCCATCATAGTAACTGTATCACCAGCTTCGTCTTGAAAGAAGTACGGAACAATGATTCCACCAGACCAAAACTCACACCAAACTGTCAATTTAGGTGAATATAATGGTTTTTCAGGAATAATTTGTGGATTATTTTCGCACCAGAATCGGCAGCTTTGTTTATTTACGGCACCACTGGGATAAAAATTAACCTCATCGTAGTATAGTAGATGATTTTCTTAAAAAATCGTTGTCGTCTTCAAGTTGTCCCAAGGAAATTAAACATGTTCGTGACGTTTACGTTCGTCCAATGGCTGCAGATCTTCAATGAGAATAATTTTTTACGAATGCAAGCCCAAATCCTTTCTCAAAATCCGCCAGATTGTGGACGAACGTGGGGAGAACGTCTTGGAATCACCAAATTGCGGTCTTCAGAAACACTTGTCTGAACGACAGTAATATTTTCATTACTTTAGCATGTCTATCTGTCTCTCTGAATACACTCTAACTCTCAGTTTTTGAGACAACAGTGTGAAAATTTTGCACCCGCACTTTTCTCATCAAGAATCGTTTATTTTTCCAGAATAAAGTACTTGTATGAAAAACTTTTTTCATTTGATGAGATATCATCACGAAATTTTACATGTATTACTGTGATTTGATCGAACCAATCCAAGTAGCATATAACTGCCATACATACTGATGACAAGGTATCCTCACGAAATTCGATATGAATTATTATCTATGGCAACGATATAATCTTATAATTAATTTTGTCTAATCAGACCACTGTATAATATATAATATGTTGCTGACATACAAACACTCCGATAAAAATGAAATTTGTGAATGATTTTTTTTTTTTACTTGTGAAGAGCATCTTAATGCCAGACAATTTTTAATATTCAGGAATTATTTAACTTCCGTAAAGTTCTTTACACACTCTAATAAATATTAATTTTGTTTTCTGTTTAAATTTCAGAGAAGACATGCAGAAAGTGAATATCAATTTTTACGACAATCAAACAGTGTCATATCAGCACAAGAAAATTCTGCAATTCGTGCCCGAATTGAGTATAGACAAGAATACACCGATAGTCACACCCAATATTCCTCTATTGGTGAGTAACCACACTACATTATAGATAAAGTAAAAACAAATGTTAACTTACGCTCTCTCTCACAGACGCTTACTAGTCTCAGTCCAAAATTAGGTTATCTGCTGTCAAAGACGATTTCCGTAGTTTTGACCGCAGCCAAGTTCAAACCTTTCATCAACGTGACTGCCGATCAGTTGGTGTTCGGCTACGATGATGCGCTCGTCAGCTTGGCACATCGATTTTATCCAAAACATATGCGCCCAATGGAGCGAATGGGACTGCTTCTTGGGGTAAGTGTGAGAGATATTTAAATGTTTAAAAAGTGATGTTTACTATAAGAAATCTCCCACTCTCCACAGCGCAATGGTACACTAACCGAAGTCTCAACAATTAAAACTGGTCTTCAAGGAATGGAAGAATTTGGCTACATAGACCGCCTGAATGGACTCGATCACCTGCCGCATTGGCATAACCCACCCTGTAATCGTATCACCGCCTCCGAGGGCTCATTCTTTCCACCACGTGATATAACAAAAGCGGATACAGTTTATGTTTATGACAAGGATTTGTGTCGCGTCATACCTCTACAGTACCAAAGAGGTGTGAAAAAAGATGGTAAGTATCTTGCTGGAATTATCTGATTGACGATGAACAGTTTTTAAATTTTCTGTCTTCCTTTCAACGCAGGTATTGGCGCTGATCTGTATATCTTACCCGAGAACAGTTATGGCGATTCTTCGAATAATCCGGAAAATGAATGCTTTGATTCAAATGATTATGAACCGATAAAAGGCCTACAGAATATAAGCCCGTGTCAGTATGGCGCCCCTGTCTACATATCAAATCCACATTTTTATCAAGCCAATGAGTCGTTGTTACATTCGGTTGAAGGTCTCAAGCCGAATAAAGACGAGCATGAAACATACTTCAAAATACAATCGGTGAGTTTTAAGTGCTCAATATATTTTGCAGCTTTAAACAGTTCAAAGGTAATCAAATACAGTAGTACCTGTAGACAAAAAAAAAGTTGGAAATTATGTGGAAAGTATATGATAGGATTACCAGCAACTTAGTCGAGTAATCCTGTAAAAAAGAAGTGATACTTATGAGAGCATAACCTAAAAAAAAAAAAAACAATCCATATAATGCATGTCCAACTTCCTATTTACTAACTATTCCATCGAGTCTTCACAGAAAAAAAAAGTCATTATTCAAGGGATTAGCTAAACTGGTGAGTTTCTCCCTGTGTGTGCGAAGTGTTCATTCAAAATAACAATCGAAAATCTAAGCAATACAGTTTTTAACATTTATCCCAAAAAAGTTGGTGATGAAACCTGCGTAACGGTAATTAATTGTTACCAGTTGCGGGTGCAGAGTTTATTTGACAGGTTTTCCTTTCAACATATTTCTAATGTTGAAAATGTAAATTGTTTTTTTCTCCCTCATTTTATAGGGGGAGTATGACCTCCTAAACCCCCTGTGGATCCGCCACTGACTCTTACATAGGATTAACAAAATTTTTAAAATATTTTTTAACTCATATTTTATTTTTAATTGTATTCAACTCCTTTTCTGTTTTCCAGAAATTGGGTGTACCACTGGAAGGCAAGGTACGCATCCAACTCAATCTCAAAGTGACGCGAGCGAAAGACGTGTATCCAGTTAAGGATTTCCGAGATTTCATCTTCCCGGTTATGTGGTTGGAAGAAGTAAGATTTTAATAGCTTTTAAGAATCTTTGAAGAAACATACATACGTCATTAAAAAAAAGAACTTTAGAATCATACACTTGTTTTTAAACTAATAATCTTTCCTCCACTTTCCAGGGTATCTCCGAATTAACACCCGCCATCCGCCGTTGGATCTACTTGGCCACCGTATTTGCACCGATCATCATACCGGTCGCCTCGTATCTGATGATATTCGGCGGCGCACTTGCCATTGTCTTCGTCTTCGTGCGCGCATATCAGAATTTCGTGTTCGCACGCGATCCCACCTTGGAGATACTCGAGATGGGTCGACGCTCGCTAAGGCGTGGCAGCAGCTTCATCGCGCAACATCAGCACAAGTTCATGCATCGCGAAAGTTATACCCTGCTAAAGACGGTGCCCGGCGACCTGCTGGACGACAAAGAGGACGCGATACCCATAATGACAAACAGTTCATAGTATTCCTAAAAAGCACAAAAGAAATATGCAATAAAAAATGAGCGCGGTTGAGTATTCAGCCAGACAGATGAACGCATCTCACGAGTGATTGCAAATTTCGTATCGAATTTAGTTTTTAATTAGTTAGTTGTTCGTTTAAAGCTAAGTAGGTGTAAATGATTTATCTCAATGTAAATATGTGTATGTGTGATGAAATGGCGTAAAAATCAAAGAGCAACAACAAAAACATAAATATGTGATCTAAGTTATTACTTTTGAACGTGTTTGTGTGGGTTACTTTTTTTTATCGGATATTTTCTGTGTGAAATGTTTGTTGTTGGTGAGCGCGTGTCAGCGGCCTTTAGTGCGTTTTAGCTCTAATTCTCCAAAAGTAAAGAAGAAAAAATGTAACAAAAAATCTAGAAACTATAATTTATAGTTATATTAAATATTTATACATATATTTATGTATGTAATAATATGGTGTTTAGCTTTCTTCTTCTTCTTCCTATATTTGTAATCGCCTTATACAAATTTGTGAAATTCCAGGGTTAGTGGTAGATTTAGATTTCTAACTGTAAGTATGTACTCATTTCTAACAAAATTACACTCAAATCGAAAACAAAATCAATTGATAGAATTTGGATTTTTCAAATAAAGTCGACAAGAAGTTGGTTATAGAACTCAAACGATAAAGCAAATTATAAAAACATAATTAAATAAATATTAATTCATTCAGATTTTTTTTAAATAGTATTTATTTCGAAAATTATAAAAAATTTAGAAAATGAAAAAAGTTTTAGAAATTGCAAAAATTATTCTTTGAAACATATGTATTTATAAAATTGTTCTTGCCCAAAACCAAAACGTATTTTAAGACCAGAAATCAACAAATTATAGTTTAAAATACTGGTTTCTGGTTGTCAATTTAATATAATTTCATACAAAAAAGAATTTTTTTTGATTATTATTTTTCAAATTTTCATCTTTTGATTATTTATTTAATTGGTTGGTTTTCAGCCGCCATTTTAATGTAATTTTATATAAAATCAAAAAATTTTTAAT